GCGCTTTAGGCAGTTTCAGTAACTGAGGACATCTCTTCAAGGCTACACATACAGGCTCTGGATTCACACCCAGGAGAATAAATTCTGAAATGATGTCCAGCAGCTGTCTGTGGTTGGCATCTGGCTGTATACTGAGCAATTCATTAATGTGGGCGTCAGTGAAACCCATGTCATGCAGAGAGCTGATGACCATCTCAAGTCCCAAGGACCCTTGCTCCAGGTCCACCTTCTCAGGAAGCTTCTGAACCAGATGTGTCCTGCATGTTGGCTCTTGCACACAGTTTTTGGGTCCAACAAAAGATAATCCCTTAAGCCTCCCTCCCTGGGAGGCTGTAGTCAGTTTACATGACAAAACAACAGTCTTCCTTTTCTGCTCTCCAAGAACAGGAGTCCACTTAGCCAAACCAATCAAGGTAAGTGGGAATGCGTGGTGCCAGTCAAGGACCTAGAAGATACAGGACCAAAAGAAAATCAACTCCATCCTAGAATAATTAATGTCACAAGACCTCTGAACCAGGATATTTGGCACTTTTGTTCCACACAAACATGAGCTTTATATAGGCACTCTAAGAAACTGCAAAAGCCTACCATGAAGGAAATTCACATACAGAAAACAAAATCTACAAAAGGCCCCCATTAAAAAACAAGTTTTGTTGCAAATCAAGACATCAAAGTCAGAAGGGTACTGCTAGCTTTAAGTGGAGGCAGGATAGACTAGGGAAAATGAGGCATGTTGAATGGAAGTATATTTAGAAACACAGAAGCACTATCTTGTTTTAGCCCTTACATTCCTTTATAAGCTGCAGCATTAACACAAGGGAAAGAGCAAGAGAGGCTTTCTCCATCTGACCTTGCCTGCTAGCCCCACCAAACAATTAACTGTGCTCTAAAAACTGAAAAAGGACACAATTAAAAACAAACATACATTCTGGGCACCGGTGGCTCACACCTGTAATCCTAGCTACTCAGGAGGCTGAGATTTGAGGATCGCAGTTCAAAGCCAGCCCAGGCACAAAAGTCCATGAGACTCTTATCTCCAATAAACCACCAGAAAACTGGAAGTGGTGCTGTGGCTCAAGCAGTAGAGTGCTCACCTTGAGCTGAAGAGCTCAGGGGTAGTTCCAAGTCCCACAACTAACAAAATAAAGGGCAGAAAAGGAGAGACACGGGGTAAACAAATGCAGTAAAGGTACTCACTGGACATTATGTTGAAAATGAACTACAAGGAGGCTGCAATGCTTGATAAGAAATGTACTCATTACCTTGCTCATGTAATTGTAACCCCTCTGTACAGTATTTCCACAACAACAACAAAAAAGAAAATGAACTATACAACTTGTGGATGAGGGAAAAATTGGGAGAGCGCAAGGGAAGAGGTGACATTGTCCAAAAAGAAATGTACTCTTTCACCTGACTTATGTACAGCACCTTTATAATAAAAAAATTTTAATTCAAAATAAAATATATGGCAGAATAGTCCTCCCTAACATGGGTGCCCAAACATAATGGTCATCTATTTCAAGTATAGGTCAGTCTCAGAGATTCCGGGCCCAAGCATTAAAAGTGTAACACCAAGAGTCATTAAGAGCAAAGATAAGAACACCAGACCTTGCCTTTATCAAGTAAGTACCCGAGGTCAAAGCCGCTCGGTGCCTCTGCCTGTCTGCTTGTTTTCTGCCACGTTTTCTAACCACAGTGAATTGTCCAGAAACGCTTATTCCGGCCATTTTAGTCAGGGACCCGTCAGAGTCCCTACTTCTGGAGGAAAACTTCACCAACCCTCGCCTGGCCTGGATGGGGTGACCAAGCTGCAACCGCAGGCCGGGGGGCGGGAGGGGGAACCTAGCAACGTCCGGCGGACACTGCGGGACCGGGGTCGCCCGGTGGACGGTCCACGTTCCTGCTATGGGCACAAAGTTCTGGGGGACAGTGAGTCTGCGGAGCAGCCCGAGCGCAGCTGGGCTCGGTCCCGTCCCCCCTCCCCGGTGGGGTCCCCGAGGCAGCGACGCGCGCGAGCCCCGG